CCATGGGCATTTTGGGCTACTTTCTCATGCAACTTGCTTGTGCCTTCAGGACATGTTCAGGGCTGATCTTGTATACACCACTTCCATTTAATGATGGAATGCTGCTGTGCATGTCCAACTTTATGACTCTGTGGGTCAGACAACACCCAGTTCATGATGGGCAGCTCAGGCTGCATGGTGAGTTGGTGGCCCACAGTTAAGCGTTCGGTCTCTACTAAGGTCCAGTAATGGGCTAAAAGCTGTTTCTCAAAAGGAGAATAGTTAACTGCAGAGGATAGCAGGGCTTCCTCCCAAATCCTAAGGGTCTGCATTGTGATTCACCAAGAGGGGCCTGCCAAAGACTCCAAACAGCATCTTTACTGTCACTGACACTTCAACACCATTGTATCAGCTGGATAATATGGCCCAAGAGGCAGAGCGGCTTGCACAGCAGCCTGAACCTGTTGCACAGCCTTCTCTTGTTCTGGGCCCTTCTCAAAACTAGCAGCTTTTCAAGTCGCTTGATAAATAAGCCAGAGTAGCATGCCCAAATGAGGAATATGTTGCCTCCAAAATCCAAAGAGGCCCACTAGGCATTGTGACTCCTTTTTAGTTGTGGGAGGAGCCAGATGCAACAGCTTATCCTTCACTTTGGAAGGAATATCCTGACATGCCCCACACCACTGGACCTCTAGAAATTTCACTGAGGTAGAAGGCACCTGAATTTTTGTGGGATTAATTTCCCACCCTCTAGCATGCAAATGCTTTACCAGTAAGTCCAGAGTCATTGACACTTCTCCCTTACTAGGTCCAATCAGCATATTTTCATCAAAGTAATGGACCAGTGTGATGTCTTGTGGAAGGAAAAGGTGATCAAGGTCTCTGCAGACTAAATTACGACATAGGGCTGGAGAGTTGATGTAGCTCTGAGGTAGGCAATTGAAGGTGTATTGCTGGCCTTGCCAGCTGAAGGCAAACTGCTTCTGATGGTCCTTCAGAATAGGTATGGAGAAAAAAGCATTAGCCAGATCAGTAGCTGCATACCAGGTACCAGGAGATGTATTAATTTGCTCAAGCAATGAAACTACATCTGGAACAGCAGCTGCAATTGGAGTCACCTCCTGGTTAAGTTTTGGATAATCCATTGTCATTCTCCAAGATCCATTTGTTTTTTGTACAGGTCAAATAGATGAGTTGAACGGGGATGTGGTGGGAATCACCATCTCTGCATCCTTCAAGTCCTTAATGGTGGCAGTAATCTCGGCAATTCCTCCAGGAATACGGTATTGCTTTTGGTTTACTATTTTCCTAGGTAAAGGCAGTTCTAATGGTTTCCACTTGGCTTTTCCTACCATAATGGCTGTTATGACATTTGTCAGGGATCCAGCGTGGGGGTTCTGCCAGTTGCTGAGTATATGTATTCCAATTATGCATTCTGGAACTGGGGAAATCACTACAGGATGGGTTCAGGGACCCACTCGACCTACTGTGAGAGGGACATGAGCTAAGACTCCATTAATAACCTGACCTCCATAGGCCCCCACTACAACTGGTGGGCCACAGTGACATTTTGAGTCTCCTGGAATTAGTGTCAGTTCAGAGCCAGTATCCAGTAATCCCCAAAAAGTCTGATTATTTCCTTTTCCCCTTTGGGGAAGGCTGGGAGACAGATTAACAGTATAAATTTTTGGCAGTGTGTTGGGGTCCTTCCTCAAAGGAACCCTGCCTCCCCTTCATTCAAGGGGTTGTGTGAGTCTTTAAACTCGTTCAAGTCTGGGAATTGATTGAGGGGCTGTGACTCTCTATTCTGGCGATTTGAGTTATACTGCTGTTCATTTGACCTAGAATTCATCTACTTGTACAGATCAAGTAAATATCTAGTAGATTTCCTATTTCACTCCTAGGGACACCATGACTAAGTAGCCAACATCATAATTCCCTACAAGTCACACTATTCTGATTACTGCTTTGACTCTGCTGTCTATTACTGTAACCGTGCCCACCTTGTCTTTGTCGATTGAGTGCCACCACTTGGCCCCTATGTTGTAGTTAGGTGTCTTAATTCAGTTAGGGCAGTTCCCACTGTCAAATCTGACTTACATAAAATAGCAATCACAGCAGTCTTCAAGGATGCTGGAGCTCCCTTCACAAATTTGATCCTCACAGTTGTGGTAAAAGGCATGTGTCCTCTGGGCACTCCACGTGTGGGTCTGTGGGTCTAACTTGATAAATCCACTCTAGCTTGCCAATTTCCCTAAGACTTTGGATACCTTCTTCTACAGTATACTATGGCAGGTCTGGTACTTCAACTTGATTTAGTGTAGGCCACCGCGTAATCCATGTTTCAACCACCCAATCAAATGAACTATTAGATCCTTTCCTAACTTCTCAAGCTGAAACTTTGAGTGAAGAATCTGTGCTTAGTGGGCCCATATCAATAAACTCAGATTGACCATTTCTATGTTCCTTGTACCGTTATCCCACACCCTTAAAAGCCATTCCCACGCATATTCCCCAGGTTCCTGTTTGTACATATTAGAAAAGTCAAGCAGTTCTTTTGGAGTGTGATGTACCTCCTCCTGGGTCACACTTTGTACTTTACCTTTTGGGGCTTGCTGGGACTTAAGTCTAGTTATAGGTCTAGAAGCCAAAATCATAGTGGGGAAGTGTTTTGAGAACTTTCAGCGTTGTCTTGTAAAGCATCTGCCTCAGGCAATAACTCAGATGAAGGCTCTTTAGATGCAGCTGGGTTAATCTCATTAGATGTGGGGAGGGGCTAATGGTCTTACTGGGGAGGGTGGTTTAGCAAACACGGAGTAATCTCTTCAGATGGGAGAAGGCTGGTTATATTGGCAGGTGTGATTCAATGGAATTTAGGCGCTCAGTGTCTACAGCTTCCTGATTATCTGTCCATATGTACTGATGTAACAGAATGACAGGTATCGGAGATAAATTTAAGCCGAATAAATTGTTTTAAAAAGTACTTCTAATGTTAAACATAAAAAACCTGTATTTTCTGGGATGAAATATTGGGATATATAAAATAAAAACTGAGGTAGCTACTCCATGTTGTTTAATAGTTACAATTATGCTTTTCAATATCATACTTACGAAAGGTTTTTTAACTAAGCTGTTCAAGTATAGTAAGTCTATAATAAGCTCCTGGGCATGTAATTATCTGGTTTCGAATCAGACTGTCTGCAGTAGTGTTTTAATAAGGTCTCCAAGATTAGGACCAGTCAACATATGAATTATGAACCCTCTAGTCTGAAGAGGCACAAAAGGAAAACAACTCAGGTGGGAAATTGTGCTATTCTTAAGGGACTGCCAGATATTATTCACAATGTAACAAATGTAGGTTTGAAAACCAGGAGGTATCTGGTTCAATTAAGAAAGATTTTATCATCTAAGAGAAAAACAAATAGCATATACTTCTCAACATGAACTTTTCTGACAGAAAGGCCTTCAGCTACTTTAGCTAATAATGTGGAGAAGATATTGTAATGTTTTGACAAACACCACAGGTAGTCCAAAATGTGATCTTTATGCTTAGCTATTTTAGAAATAGCTATAGCAACTGTTTTCCTATGAAAGTTACTATATTTAAATATTTTTTGATTATTTGTAATTGAGTTTAACTTTTTGGTATTCAACATTATAAATTGTGATGCTTTTCTAGACTATTTTCATGTAATCACTTCCTGATGATTTTAAAAAAAAAAATCTTAATAGCTTAATCCACACACCCAAAATAACTTGAGGCTCAAAATATAGGTAAAAAATAAGAAAACAAGTCAAAAAAAGAATACTTATTTTGATGTGGCAACCGACAAATCTAGGGCAAAAAGACGTTCTTCTCTGAAGAAAGTAACCCTACAATTGATTTAAAGAGAGCATACTGATAGAATTCAACTGTCTCATCATGTATCATAAGGGAATCCACCTATAAAAAGACCAAAAAGGGATGTTATAGCCTAGATAAAGCAACACTGTGTAACACTTTCCACCATGTAGTTAGCTGTCACAATTATCAACTACTGACAGATGAAGAACTTTTGATAAGCTGATTAAAATCTCTCTTAAACCCATCCAACTACCTTTCCTGTACTTGTGAAGTATCAGTCTCCCCATATTAATTTCCCGTCTGAGAGAATATGATTGGCTCATGAACATCCTGGTTGGCAGCTGTGTTTCTCATTGTGATTTACTACATTTGCTTTCCGTTACAAAACAGTTCCTTGAGTTTGGGTGCTGTGTGATTCTTCCAAGTGCTGCATTATGATTCCAGACTCTCCTAAATGGAGACCAGGCCTTGGAACAAAGATGGCCACAGCCTGGCTCCACTGGGCAGGGCTCAAGTGGAAGTATCTATCACGATCCCAGTGTTGGGGGTCAAAACCTTCATTGTATTTCGGAATATTAATTCAAAACCTGATTTCCTTTAGGATGAACCAAAGGTATTTCTAGTACCATTATCAATTCACGTAAGTTACATGGGAAATGTCTAATAACATGGCAGCAAGGATGATTCTGAGAAGTATTCTAAATCCCCCCTCCCAAAAAAAACTGCTTAAATTTATTGTTCTATCAATCAAATAGAAGAACTCTTGGAGGAGTTCTAACACTAAGGGCAAACAGACTTTGTATTATCAGTTAGTCTTAGGTCTAAAGATGCACAAAAATCTTTTAAAAAGGGAGGGGGATATTGTATCATTTTTGCATTTAGCTGTAGTTGGAATTACATTTATTTTACACTATCAGATTATCTTTATAAGTAAATCCCTTTACTAGATGGAACATAATTTGTATGAAGTTACCCAGCATCAACAGTAAAAATGTTAACTTTGGAGAACATGAAATATAAAGAGAAATTAAGTTCATTATATAAACGGTATTCAAAAGTATAATGCTTATCTTACTATACGGAATGTAACGAAGAAAAAAATAATTGAGTATTTACTAGAATAACAGTTTAGTGAAGAATGTTTTGTAGTTTACACAAACAATGCATCACTTTTAGATTTATTTTATTATCTTTAATGAACTGTTTTAACATTTTTATAAATCTTCAAATTGTTACAGTTTTCAGCAGTAAATACAGTAGTAAATACACTGAGAGATTCCTCTGATGAAAGAATATAAAACATAGAAAACACCTGGAAACAAGAGGGTCAAATGTCAACTCTAGGTCTTGAGATGGAAACTAATATGGTCCAAGTCCTTTACAATGCTAGAACATGGGAAATGAATTACCTCTTATCTTATAATCTGTTAACTCTGAGCCTCAGCTTTCTGGGAATGGTGAGTAATGAGGGACATTATTTGACCCACAGATCTCTAAAACCCTATAATACGTATTGATACCAGAGGATCTGAACACACAGGAAGTGATCTGAAAATGATTGCCAAAGCAAAGAAGTGCTTTTATTCCTCAACATCTGTGATCTTCATGGTACACTGTATATTACAAAAGGGCTTAATCCCTATACAACTGCATAAATGTCATAAAAATGGATGTTATAAAGTCTTAATATGTATTCAAAAATACATATACGATATTTTATGTAAATAATGCGTGCCTCCTGTGTTTGTTTGCTGGCCCCCGTGAGGTATTTCTGTAAGCACACTATGCTAATTTTTTTTAACAGCAACATGTGGAAGAGGACTGGTATGGTTGTGCTTGTGAGGGAGCCTCATGGGGGGAGGGCGCGGTCGGCAAACAAACACAGAAAGTGTGCATTATTTGCATAAAAATACGGTAGCTGTGCTTTAGTAAATGAATCCATCATTAATTAGAGGGATAATTTTGCCTTTAAGATATATTCAAAGTATATACAACGGATCCACAAATATTACCAATTCATGACCAAAATTATCTAAGTTTACATTTGCAAAAAACTGTTGGTTTTCAATTAAAAAATTTAAGAAAGTTGTGAATATTGTTGATTTATTATCACTTGGGTTAAGAAAAAGTGCATGGCTTCAGCTTTTTAACAGGAAATTTGTGGACTACTTGGAAATAAGAAGTTTCACACTTCTGATTATTAGAAAGGATAAATTGTCTATAATTCCCAATTGAGAACAGAATGTGTAGTGTATAAAAATAAGGTTTTATTCCGAAATCAAACAAATATTTCTAGAAAAGCCCTTGGGATACGTCTGCTCATTTTCCTTACATAAGATCAATTAAATAAGTGGCATACTTGAATGGTATACCTTTATGTCAGTATGTATATTCCATTACCAAGCTGAGAGAGGAAACATTTCTATCTAAATGTGGAAAAAATACATGAATAACTGAGGTGCAACATTTTACTGTATATTTTCTAACTTCACTCCAACATAATTTATCAATATATATTGGATTAAAAAAAAGATTAAACACACACGAGATGTTACTTACATGCAAGATTCATTGTTCCAACATGAAACACTAGATCTATACCTTTCAAATTAATAAAAACTGCACATCTGTTTAATTTGGCTAACAAAGAAAATGCATACTTAGAAAAATGTCATTATATCCTCCTAATAAAGCAGGTCTATATCAAAGGCACTTCAGCAGAGCAATAATTCAACCTTTTCCAAATCATTTTTATTTATGCTGCTTTTAATGTATCTTTCTGTATAAGACCAATAAGAAGCCTCCTGTAATTGTGGGTCTTATCATTACTCAAAAAAAAAAAAAAAAGACTAAGTACTATCCAAAACATTTATCTCTTCTCTGGAGGAGAGTAACATACAGCAAACTTGTGCCTAGGTCTTTAAGTTCTTTGGGTTAATACAGAAAAGTAGAAGTGTTATCTGACAGGTTAGATGTTTCAGAAGTGGTTACAGGAAAAAACTGGCTGAAGTCTACTGTCTTGGGAAAAAAAGCTGTTGTCTTTCATTGTGTTATCTACCTACAATTTTACTAAAGCTAATGTGACTATTTTGGTTCTTTCAGCTCCCACGTTGAATCGTAGGAGACGAGAAACAAAGCAATTTCGTTTTATTGTTCCCCTGAGGAAAGGGGATGCTGCTTCACACATTTTGCTTTCATGAAAATTTTTTTAAAAATAGAATCAATTGACATTATTTAACAAACAGGCTTTATTTTTAGGAAAAGATAATTAACATAAAAAAACAGCTGTTGAATGTGCTCACTCTAAAGTCTTAGCAATGATGAAAATAAAACGGATATATTACTTCCAAAACTAAAAACAAAAAAGTTGCAAAGGCTGTAAATGATTTAAGGAAAAACATCTGCTTTTCCCATGAAATCAAAACTGTTTTCCTCAAACGTCTTTTATGAATGTCAACAGAAAAAAAGTAACATCTGAATATATAATAACCTGAAGGCATTTTTGAGCCTCAGGAAAATGGCATTATCTTTTTCTTCTCATCAACATTCCAGAAAAAAAAAAAGTGAAATGTTTATTTCTTTTAACTCTACATATTTTATTAAATTTTTTGTATTCACAAACCTAACCGACTTTTTAAATCAAGCGTGATAGCCGTTAAACGGTTGATTTTGGGTTTTTCGAATATAAGAAATAATCTTGAAACTGATCTTTAGCATACAAGTTATCAGTCAGCCTTAAAGTCATTCTCTCCCTCCCCCCAGACTGGTAAAAAGTTTTCCTTGACGTCGCTGAGCTCACTTCATTTTTCAGGGGCAAAAGAAAAATCTAAAATAAAAATTGAATACCAGAGGATTAATTTTTCAGATTTCTAAACGACAAATTAACACTTTATCACTTATTCTGTGAAGTTACACCCAAAAAACAACCAAAGAGCTGGCATTCCTCTCTTAACTACCAAGTAGTTTCTTGCCTGTCTTCTATGAACTGAGTGTGAGACTTACTTTTTTGGATGATGAAATACACATGCTTTTTATCACAAAAAAGAAAATGCTGTTTGGCCTTTAAATTCTAGAATGAAATCAGTCCAGAACATTTATCAAGTTATTTTCAAGTACAGGCAGAGAACAACATTTCACAAGAATATGATGCCTGAAGAAGACAGGTTTCACTTTTAAACGCTTCACAGGGGTAGTCGTCAAGGCAGGAGCAACATTTTTGGAAGCAACTTTAAAAGCACACGTTTTACTATGTTATTCTTAAGAGAGTCAGGGCCAAACTGGCCCACTGAGCAACATTTTCAGATAACTAACATCTTGAGCTATTTTACATTTTGAAAATTTGTTCAAATTTATCACCCAAAAATAAATGAAAAGAATTCCTCAGTATCCTTCTGATTACTGTAATTACCATTTTACTGTTTTTTTGCTCTGCTTGATCACGTCCAGGGGCCATAAGATTGATCAGTCTCAACTTCCTAAGAAGTCCATACTGCGATTTACAAGAAGAAGCAAGAATAAACAGCACAGAGATACCAGAGACACAACCATCCTTGGTGTTAGTTTATGGGAATTAGTGGGCGCTCCTCTCGCTTCTTCCAAATGTTAGTCTTGCTATCTCTTTTGGCTAGTGGTGGTCTGCCCCTTTTTTTAGTCGGGGATGTACTGGCTTCAAAATCTTCAACGGTGCTTCTTCTTCCTGGGGACTCTTCTATAGGGTGTTCCATGATAGCTCCACTCCCTCCATCTAGTATATGCCTTAAAGTGGGGTCCTCGGGGGAGCAGACAGTGGTTCCACTCTCACTACTGCTCAGGTCTAAATCTTCTAAGTAAAGGATCTTAGGTTGATGCATGCTTTTGATGAACGTTTTCTCCCTCTCAAGCTTTCTACTTGAGTGATGCTCATTCATATCCACTCCAGAGTCTAGACTTGTGTCATTGCTCTGGGCTCTCTTGCCCTTTTTCAGGTCTATAAACGAATGCCTCACTTGGGCAACTGGCTTTCCATCAAGAGACACAAACCAGGCTCTGGGATGGGGGGAAGGCTTTCCTTTGGACAGCTCCAGGAGGGTCTGTTCTGAAATGCCTTGAAGCTCTGATGAAAATGGAGTCATTACAACAGCTTCATTTAGGGTTCCAGGAACTGAGACAGATTCTAGTAAGCTGTTAGAATACCGGCTCCAATCTGACGTTTGGGATGGCAAGCTCTGCTGACCTTCGAGTGCAGTATTCTCTTCCCTGGCATCTGGGGGCTGTGCGTGAGAATGCATTGGCATTTTTGGTAATGTCTGTGTAAAGTTCTCTCTGTTTACTGGTTCCATCAACTGGCCATAGACTATCTGTCCCTTTCTTGGCAAAGTTGCTGACTTGGCAGTATGCATCTGCTCGGGAGTAGAGAAAACGTCAGATGTTTGAAGGATGGCAATGGGCTGACTGTAGATATGCATAAGCTGTTCAGGAATGTGGGAACGTCCATACACCTCTTCATTACCTGTGAAATACCTCTTTTCCTCTTGAGCATCACCTAGAGATGGAGATAGACTGTTGTTAATATGTTTAGGTTGCTTGGATCCTATATTGGGCTCCAAAGACTGTGTTGGGTTTCTTGAGTAATTATTTTGATTGACAGACAGAAACGAAACATCTTCGTTATAGATTTTAAAATTGTCCCGAGTTTTTACCATGGATACTCTTTCTTCTGCTTCTGCCCTTGGTGGATCCTTTTGAGGGCTGTATGAAGAGTTTTTGGCACTGAATAACTGTGACCGGTCCTCAGCTTTTAACGCAACTTTGACTGAACTAATGTGATTTATATGTGTTGTTGAAGTTGTTTGGTCTCTCTTCAGGATCTCAAGTTTAGTGACGTTTCTTTCTCTTTTCTGTGAAGTACCACACTTATCCCTAAAGTAAAAGACAGAAAAAAATTTTTAATAGTTATGATATAGAAGGCTCATTCAATAAATCACCCCATGATATATGTATCATATGGGTAATGCTAGTGTTAGAATATATACATATTTTGTATTTAATCAATATATTTTAAAGATCAAACAATTGATTTCTACAAATAAATTCTGTAATACAGAATACACTGATATAATATGATAGTTTTCTGTGTTTCTATACACTGATGAATATCGTTCTTACCTGCAATAACAAAGAAGTACAGCAAAAAATCCAATGACAATGACAACAGTTCCTCCTAATATGGCTGTAAGAAACACTGTGTGGTAGGCAGTAATGTCCTTGGAATCTTCATTTATACCTAAACCTAAATAGTTCAATATAAACAAACAAATAAAACAATGAGAAAGTATATTATTTTAGATCAAATTTTCACCCGTCACATCCTAGATGCGGCAGACTGAATATCTGTACACAATTTTATTTGTTCACTCCCCTCCTGTGGCAGGTATCCCTGCAGGTGAAGTATACCTTTCCCACTCTTCTGACTTTGGGCTTAATCGATCGACTTGCTTTGCCCAATGAAACATGAGCATCTTAAATGAGCTTATTTGGCTCTTACTCTGGCCCTCTAATATGTGAGTGGTATAACCCAAAGGAGCCCCAGTGGCATGGTGGTTACAAGCTTTTGGCTGCTAACCAAAAGGTCGGCAGTTCGAACCCACCAGCCACTCCTTGAAAACCCTATGGGGCAGTTCTACTCTGTCCAGGGTCGCTATAAGTTGGAATCAGTTTGATGGCAACAGGTTTGCCTTTTTTTTCGTAACTCAAAGAGTCACTCCTTCAGTCTTCGTTCTGGAATGAGAAAGCATGTTAAGCTGAGCTAAGCTGAGCCCAACACAGCAGCAGCTAACCTAAAGCACTTATGAAATATAAACAACGAATAAACGTTTGCTATTGTAAGCCACTGACATAGAGGGGTTATTACTGCCACAAGAGCTAATTAATACAGAAATCAGTACGTAGATGTGGAGACACCACTTACTGTAACAAAAACATAAAAAAGGTGACAGGAAATTGTTTCAGGAGGCAGGAAAAATGATGACCCAAGTTATATAGCAGCAAAATATTCAGTAAAATAAACTGGGAGAAAGTATTTCTAATTAATCTGAACTTTGTGTGAAGGGTTTTGAGATAGAATGTTGGTAGTGAGTGTTGTTATTAGCTGCGTTTTAAGATAAATCTGGAAAAGAGTTTTCCAAAGCAAGCAGGGATGAAAGTTAATATAGAGAGAATTCAAAAATTCTGGGAATTGAAGGATTAAAATTTGCAACGTCTTCAGCCTGGGCTCTAGAATGAGAAGACACTGCAATCCCAGATAAGCAGAGGCTGGCAGGGGCATAGCCAACCTACTACCACGTTATGAGAACACACACAAAAAATACTGTTGTTATAAACTTTGCTGCAGTAAAAGGTGGCAAATACACTAAGTAAGTTATTAAGATTCTGCACAAAAAAAAATGCTATTGGGCAACTAATCTAATCTTGAGTTAATCACTATTGTTGTTAAATGAAAATTCAAGATTATTTAAGACCATAATTGACCATAATTTCATATATGATGACTGGTAATAAAGTGTTTATTATATTCTTATTCCTACTCCAGAGCTGCAACAGAGTGAAGTTTGATTAAACTGGGTGAAATTCAACTTCTTTTCCTAGAAATAAATCCCTCCTCTATGGAGCAATGCTAACAACTTTCACTCCACAGCATCCCAGCAGAATTCGTTTTTAGAAATAGAAGGCTGATACTGATGAGTTTTCTCCAAATCCTGTATACACGACAGTAAAAAAAAAAAAGTGTGTGTGCACATCTGTGCTTGTGTGTGTATGTGAGTATGCCTAGATGGGGTTAGAAAGGTAGAAAATAATAATATATTTTCAGTCAGATATATTTGAAATGCATATTTTAAACATTAATAAATGCTTATTTATTAAATTCTATATTCAGTCTCCTATTTTTCTACAGCAATCTGTGAAAAACTACTTGATTTTTAATTTAACATTATTTTTTTTCAGGCAATTCTAGAATTTCTTTCAAATGTAATTAAAAAAACATTTTTAAATTATCAGACAAATCATAACTAAAGTAGCTCCAGCAAATACACAGAACCAATTTTTATTTTACAATACCACTCACATCCTAAAATGTTTAGGATCATTAGGGATCATCATATCCAACTCCCCCAATTTAGAAACAAGAAGACTAAGACTCACATAGGCAAATTCCTATTTCAAGGTCACCTAGTTAGCTACTGGCAAAGCCAGAGCTGCAATCAAGTTACTCGTACTTCTAGTAGAGTGTTCCATTGGCTGGGATATGCTTGCAGAACAGATTTTTCAAAAACATCACTAGAAGGTTTCTAATGTAAATGAAATGGAAATATCATGCTTCTATTTTAGAACTCCAATTCACACAAATTTTTTTCCAACGGATAAGCTGAAACAGAATTTCCACCTATTTTATAAAACTTAAATGCTCCTTAGGTTGTTTTTATTAAAAATTAAGTAACTTGGGTTTAAAGTTCAAGTATTAAAATATTGTTTCTTTTCATCAATATTTCATTACAGTTGCAAATCTAGAATGGGATAAGGTCAGACAGCTGGCAAGACTGCATGATATTTTGCATCATGAATAGCAAAAATAACTACCCTCTGATTTCTGAACAAATCCTCTCTTGAGCATGAAGTTCAAATAGGAACAGAAAGAATACCTCTCTTGATCATATACGGTTAATGGTTCATATTTCTTCCAGTGAAATACTAAATTGTGGCTTCCCTGAAAAGAGTCTTTGTACTTCCCATGGTTTAAAATTCAAGCCTAAAATGACAAATGTCAACACAAAATGACAATAAAAATCAAATTGGATTTAAAAAAAAAAAACCTTCAGAAAAAACCTGGAGAACCTTGAAAGTAACAGAGTCAAACAGAATTAGATGATAGAATGCTGCAGAGAAACACACACAAAATGTCATTCATGTCCTGGATCAGGGTTTATACTCGGACTATTCCCGACCATCATGAAATAGTCAGGTAGCACCTGCCTCTCAGCTTAGAGCCCAGACCCTAGATAAAAGAATCATCTCCGCCACATGATTAAAAACGGAGGAATGACATATGCATTTAACTTTCACTCTCTCCCAAAACCTCTTTAAAGTGATACTAGAAGTTTTGCCTTGTTTTGTTTCTGTGAACACACAAACCCACAAGGACAAAGAAGAATGAGATAAGAAACAACAGTACCGGAACACTGAATACCAGAAAGATGATTTAGCAAAGTTGGCAGAGGAGAAAGCCCAGTTGCTTCCTGGTTTGTATACCAGAGAACACCCAAACAGCCCAGAAAGTGGTAGCAATGGGTTCCTCGGGAAATGGAAGCGAAAGTGGGGCACAAAAGATTGGTTGAAAGTCTAAGAAACATCTCCAAATTATCTCTGCAAACTATACATAGCCAGCAAAATTTCCCTCCACAATCCTGGCAAACGACTTCTAGATTTAATCTCTCTGGAGAAGGTTAAGAGACAGAGAGACAGAGACTGAGAGACTAACTCTGTACCAGAGGACACAAGCCATAGTTAACAGCTTACCATATTGAAAGTTCAGGTATAGATCCCCAGCCTTCTGGCACTGGGTGCAGCTGCCTCTGGGGAATTTGACCAGTCCATTAGAAAAGACCCAAAGACACTGACATCAAAGTTTCCCAATAAAAAGGTCCCAGCCAGATGATGCTATAATGAAATCCATTGTCTATAAGCTCCATCCATGCATACAGAGCTTGAAATTGAATTTTTAATGCTCTACTCTTCAATATGATCTGCCAGTCAAGGGTCAGCAGATATTTATCCAAAGCATTTAATATGAAAGACATCAAACAAATCTGGAGGAAACAGTGCAAGGAGGAAAAAACTTTTAAAAATATACTATAAATATCCTCAGAGAGATATGACAAAATATTATAATCATGAAACAAGAATAGAAAACTCTGAGTAGGAACTTAAAAGAGGGCTTAGAAAGGTCTATAATAGGGGGAGAGAAGAAAAAATTACAGAAAACTTGCCAGATTTGGCACATATGCATTTCCAGACTGATGGCCTATATCATGTGCTCTTCAAGATGACTGAAAAGAGACCCACACCAAGACATGGTAAATGAAAGTTCCATACAGTGGGACAAACAGACAATCCTACAACCTTCCAGAGAGGGAAAAAATAGGTTTCATACAAAAGATCAAGTCTTAGAATAACATGCTACCTTCTCAAGAGCACACTGGATGCTAAAAAATATCCCTTCAAAACTCTGAGGGAAAAATGATTTCCAACCTAGAATTCTACATTTAGACCAAATTATCGATTATGTATGAGTATAGAAAAAAGACGTTTTCACAGAAGAAAGGTCTCAAAATGTATACCTCCTACACACCCCTTCTCTGAGGCTACGAGTCTATCACTACTTCTAAAACTATGTCATAAACCAAAAAAATAAAAAAGACAAGATCTATGAAATAAGGATCAGTCACAAAATAATAACAAAAATAACCCCCAGGATGACGATGAAAGTAGTCCCAGGATGGGAGCTCTACAGCATATGCAGTTGTCTAGATTACACAGGATTCAGTTTTTCTTTTTTCAAGAAGATTCAATGAACAAAATATATAATGAGTTTGAATATTTTTGAGAGGTTTATACAACTTGAGGTAAATGTAGTTTTCTTGGGTACAAATTATATAGATATTTTGATACCATGTTAAATTTGAGAAAATAAAATACACATTTTCCTAGAACAGGAATAGATCCTCCCTAGTAGAAAATTCTTTCTGACTGTCAGACTCCATACACCTTCTGTTCATAATGTCAGGCCAGTCTTCATTTGGAGTTATCACCTGTCTTCTCTTGGAAAGAGTCTGGGTATACTACTATTCAAGAGCCCTTCCTTTGCCTAGGGGTGTGCTCATGACCCAAGGTTGGACCAATCAGATTCTTCCTCCCTAGAATGATCATGAACAGAGTGAGGAAAAGACTGGAAAGTGCTGGAGCCATCTATCAGGCAGCAGCAAGCTGGAGGAGACGGTAGAGTAGGCTGGCTAACTGGGCTGTCTGGTGCTACTGGGATTCCTGCCTTTCAGCATCTAGTTCTTCAACCTGCCCTGTGATCCCGTGAGCTCCTCATATCCTTCTAATACAGTATTATTTTATTTAAGTTATCCAGAATCCATTTCTGTTGCTTGCAACCAAAAACCTCGAACTGCTTTGGTCAGGGATTTATTTATGAACAGTACACTAAAAAAGAAAATACCTGATCTGAACAAGCCCCATATCTCACAGATTCATCTGACAGTACAGCTCTAAGGGACCTTGGAGTTCATGTAACTTAATCCTTTCTTATACACATAAAAACAAAAAACACAAAATCTGAGATTAAGTGATTTTCCCAACATCATACAACAGGTAAGTGGCAACGCTTAGAATAAAATCCAGCTCTGCTGATATCAACTCCAGCATGTCTATTTGGATTGTTAAAACAAACAAACAACTTTTTGCTTCATTTTTACAATACCTCTAGTTCCTGGAAGTGGAGCAGCTATCCAGTAGCCTAAATGTGGTGCATCATATGTCCAAATTAAATGATTGTTATATTTCTTAACTATGCCCTGGCCATGATTTATCCAAGCACCTAAGAAGGGAAGCAAGTAAAAATTATCAGTGAATTATAGTTTATATACGTTAGAGCTGATAGGAGTTTGCTGACAGTCATATATAGAATACAGAATTTTTCTCAAAGATTATGAAAACTGTGGCAATACACTACCATGGAATAATATATATGGTATATTGTACATATAAAAATATGTAAAACAGAATAGAATAACTTCAATGATTGTTACAACCAAAGGAAATAAAATCATTATAAATAAACTAAGGATGCAGGCATACTTAGGGAAATCATGACTGTTCCCAATGTTTAAATTATGCATATTGAGATATGTCTTGAGGATATGAATAGTGAAATCCTAATTCATCAATAGGTAGTTATTTGTCACCTATCCTAAGTTTTTGATTAAATACTCGTAGTGTGTCCTTTATGGCCTTATTAATTTTGTTATTAAATGCAGTTTTGACCATCAGCGTTGGTATAACTCTTTTAAACTAATTTTTTTTAAAACTTTAAAAAATGCTATCTGATACAATAAAATTTTAGCATCTATAAAAAAAAAGGATAAAACTCATACATTTTATGCAAGTCAACATAACAGAACTATTTAGAATTTTAGCATATATTTGTATTTGGCTTATTAATTTGTTGCAATAACTTATCTACAATATGTAAAATAGTGTTTTAATAAGATGGAGAAATTTAAAATGATGGGCAACTGTGAACCTATTGCTTTTACATAATCACATTAAAATTAAGTGTTGTCAGATATGATAAATTGATTCACAACTTCTTTCACTGGAAGGTACATTAAACACAGAGGTCTTTGTTAGGAGGAGCAATCAGGACTGAAATAGAGCAGTTATTTTTCTTTGTTGTTGTTGTTAGGTGCCAATGAGCCGGTTCCAACTCATAGGACCCTGTGTACAACAGAACGAAACACTGCCTGGTCCTGTGCATCCTCATGATCAATTGTTATGCTTGAGCCCATTGTTGCAGCCATTGTGTGAATCCATCTCATTTGATTGTAGATCTAAGTAAAATGAAGTCCTTGACAACTATTTTTCTTTAAAGTGCTTTAAAATAACCGATTCAATAGATTAGGAAACTTAGGTCCAAATAAGTTAAGCAACTTGTTCAAAATCACACTGCTGGTAAATGGACTAAAATCCAGATCTTAGAGCTTTTAGCCTAATTATTGTATTTACAACAGCATGTTACCACTGTTACTTATACAGTTTCCACCCTTTCTTAAAAACCTGAGTATATACTGCTAGATATTTGTGTGGTTTTTTTGGCCTCAAATACCTACCCTTCCACATTCCCAGAATGGAATGTAGGTAAATAATGCTATTCTTTGACATAATGTGTTGGCATCATACTCCCCCACAGTTGTATAAGTGAGGCCAATTTTGGCCATTGACAAAGTGCTTAAAATTGCAATGTTACTGAAAAATATACAAGAGAAGAATATTTAAAATATTCAGAGTATTTTCACCTAGCTCACATACCCATGCTCATATCAAATCTCCAGGCCAGTATATGATCCCCCACATTTATATCATCTGCATGTAGAAGGGGGAGGGAAACTTGAATAGAGCCATCCACCTTTAACTCTTTTCCTCCAGAATATATTTTCACACATATTGCAGCAAGAGGTGTCAATTCAGTGCTCTCAAAACCTAAAAAAGACATTTTATTAAAATCATATGTAAACACAGGTTGTAATTACATGTTGTTGTTAGGTGCTGTCAAGTCAATTCCAACTCATTAGCGACCCCATGTGACTGGATAGAACTGCCTTCTAGGGTTTTCTAGGCTATAATCTTTACAGGAGCAGATAGCCAGGTCTTTCTCCTACAGAGTCTGAGATAACGATTTAAGGGCAAATCATTTACTTGGTAGGTAAATCCAGGAATGCCTACCACTAAGGCAGTTGAAAAGTAATACAGAAGAAGGAGAAGCCAACACAAGATGTTTAATGAGCAGCTCCAGCTCAGGCCCACTGGGGACCTCTGGGAGACTGTACAGAACCTGGCTCAGAGATGTCCTACTCAAGGCAAGCAACCTGGAGTATTTTTATGTACCAACACTCATATGTCATTGGTTGAGGGCTCTCTTCGTGTGAGGGTCAAGCCTGCTTCCTGGGCCAGGGAATAACCTCAGGTACAAGGAGTTGGAAACACAAGCTTGAAAAAGAACAATGAGGCTGGGGCACTGACAGCTCAACTACAGCAGGTAAAAAAAAAAAAAAAAAAAAAAAAGACTTATCTTACCAAAGGAGTCCTTGAGTGAGGCCAACAGTTAGCACTTAGCTGCTAACTAAAGGTTGACAGTTCAAGTTCACCCAGAGGTGCCTTGAAGACAGGCTTGGTGATCTACTTTCAGAAGAATCAGCCATTAAAGACACTATGGAGCACAGTTCTACCCTGACACACATGGGGTCGCCATGAGTTGGAATCAACTTTACAGCACTAGTTTTTCTCTTACCAAAATGCCTATTTGCCTTTATTACTGTGATTTCTGGCTGTTGCCCTAATGAAGGAAAAAGAAAAACAATTTGACACAACTGAAACCATCAGAATTACAGATTATCTGAAGGTGATTTTTTTTTTAAAAGGAGGAGTTTCAGGTATGATGCAACAAGTGGTTGAAATGGTGGAACAGGTGTGGACATACAGAAAGTAATACAGAACTTTTTGTTTTTAAGTTGTGCTTTAAGTGAAAGTTTACAGTTCAAGTTAGCTTCTCATACAAAAATTTATACACACATTGTTCCGTGACCCTACTTGCTCTCCCTATAATGTGACAGCACACTCCTCATTTCCACTCCGGATTTGCCGTGTCCATTCAGCCAGCTCCTGGCCCTTTTTGCCTTCTCATCTTGCCTCCCCACAGGAGCTGCCCATTTAGTCTCATGTATCTACTTGAGCTAACAAGCGCTCTCTTCACGAGTATCATTTTATGTCTTATACTCCAGTCTAATTTATGTCTGAAGAGTTGGCTTTGGGAATGGTTTCAGTTCTGGGCTAACAGAGAGTCTGGGGGCCATGTCTTGCGGGGTCCCTCCAGTCTCAGTCCACCCATTACATCTGGTCTTTTTACTAGAATTTGACTTCTGCACCCCACTTTTCTCCTGATCCATCAGGGACTCTGTTGTAATCCCTATCAGGGCAGTCACTGGTGGTAGCTGGGCACCATCTAGTTCTTCTGGTCTCAGGATGATGCAGTCTCTGGTTTATGTGGCCCTGTCTGATTCTTGGGCTAATACCTTCCTTGTGTTTTTGGTGTCTTCATTCTTCTTTACTCCAGGTGGGTTGGGACCAATTGATGTATCTTAGATGGCCTCTCGCTTTTAAAACTCTAGATCCCACCCACCAAAGTGGGATGCAGAACATTTTATTAATAAACTTTGTTATGCCAATTGACCTAGATGTCCCCTGAAACCATGGTTCCCAGAACCCCGCTCCTGCTACTCTGTCCCTTGAACTGTTTGGCTGTATTCAGGAAACTTCTTAGGTTTGGTTTAGTCCAGTTGTGCTGACTTCCCCTGTAGTGTGTGTTGTCCTTCCCATCACCTAATTCTTATCTACTATCTAGTTAGTGAATACCCCTCTCCATTTCTCCCCACCCTCATAACCATCAACGAATGTTTTTTGTGTTTCAACTTTTTCTTGAGTTGTTATAATGGTGGTCTCATACAATATTTGTTCATTTGCGACTGATTAACTTCACTCAGTATAATGCCTTACAGATTCATCCATGTTATGAGATGTTTTGCAGATTCATCATTGTTCTTTATTGTTGCACAGTACTACATTGTGTGAATATACCATAATTTGTTTATCCCTTCATCTGTTGATGGGCACCTAAGTTGTTTCCATCTTTTTGCTATTGTGAACACTGCTGGAATGAACATATGTGTACATGTATCTATTTGTGTGATGGCTCTTATTTCTCCACGATATAGTCCGACGAGTAATTGCTGGATCATATGGTACTTCCATTTTTAGCTTTTTTTTTTTTAATTTAAATGGTACTTTAAAATCTAGGATTGTATATATAACCTTTTTATTTTTATTTTATTTTTTTATTGTACTTCAGGTGAAGGCTTACAGAACAAATAGTTTCTCATG